TTCCGAATTTAAACTCAATATTAAAAAATTAAAAAATAGATGCTCAGAAAGTGGATTACAATAGTCTAAAGGACAAAACTGATTCAAATGCATGTTTTAAACGTATGTTGCCCCGGTATCTCATATAAAAACAATTAACTTTTTTTGAAAAATTTCTTATGATTGAACAGTTTCTGTCGCTGAAATGCTAACACTAGATTTAGGTTTTCTTGCGGTAAAAAGGAATCCAAGCATCAAATGTGCTTGTTTTCATACTGTGTACCGACAAATATATACATGTTTAGAGCCTGATTTACCCCAAAATCCTCTATCAATTGAAAGCATTTAAACTGGTTTATTGGCTTAAATAACAAATAACTTTCTACGGAAATTTCCAAATATACCATTTAGAAGCAAGAAGTAAGTGAGCTTTGATTAACTATTGAAAACATTTATAGGAGAATGCGGGGTCAAATAAGCCATGTGTCAAATATACAAGTTTGCTCATGTTGAATGGCATATTGAAAAATGCTCAGTAAATTGGTTGCAATAGTCTATCAAATTAGCAATATGTTTAGACTACACAGTTCGAAAAAGTAGTGTAAATTTCTGTTATTATGATGCACATAAATGGAGCGTCACATTACAGATCGTGTAAATTTATGAGTCATTTAATGAAATATTCTAAATATTGTATGCAACCATCCATTTTTGTAAGCAATATTTCTTGCAAGTTGCTAGTTTACGTTAAAAGGAAGTTTACATGCTTCAATTTTAGCATGCATCGATATTTACATCACTATTAAAATTCATAATTTTTTGGTATGTATAAAATTCTGGACATTTTTCCCAAAGGAAGTCATATGTTACAATGTGTGATTTGAGCGGCAGACAATTTCAAGCCTTTTTGCTGCAAAAATCCCCACTGTGCACTGAGAGGAAAATTCATTTGCAGTTGGGTTATTCGCGAGACAGATAATCGATCAAAAATGATAGGCTGTTTTCTCGTGTTTCGCGAGTATTTTCATCATTCAACTCCCCCCTCCCCATTTTGTTTTTTTTTTTTCTGAAATTAATGGGTAGTTCTCTGGGAAGTTCTCTGATCAGCACAGATGTTCCGGAACTGCCACGAAGTTATCGGAACTTGCAATTGAATATTTCAGAAATTTTTCCGATTGTCATGGAACTTTCCTGAAGGTTCCAAAATTTCCCAGAAACTCCCTGAACTTTGCTAAAGTGCTCGGAAATTCCTGTGCTTCTCAAAATTACTTTGAATGTCCTCTAATTTAATTGAGGTTCTCTTATCTTATTTGCTTGATAGATGAAGCACTAACGTTGGTAGAAGGGCATCTACCGTTGAAGGAATATAACTTCAGCTTCAGCGCGCTTCAAGCTCAAACTCGGCCGGTTCCAGGAACGTCTTTTCGTAGGAAACCATCCAGAAGTTTATCGTGAAAAGTCCGACGCGTTTAAGCTTTTTCCGGAAACGTAGAACACGCGAGCATTTCCAAGCGTACTCGGCTGTAGAACCCGAACTCAAGAGCCTCACCAAAGCCAAGGAACGCGGGTACTTGAGCCAATTCATGGACGGATTATCGTGCGAAACGTCAACCCACACCTCCGCTTTGGAACGCGGCGCGAAGGATGCGTAACCGGTCTTCGAACAACGAGAGCGAGGAGTACTAGGATCGTTGGATTCTCAAGTTCGCGCGAAACGACGAATTCAGTAGACGAGATCAGCCAGCCTTTCGCAATGCTGGAGCTCTCACTTGTGCTCCTTTCGTGCGGCAATTCGGCTCCAGGGGCTGATAGAATCAAGTTCAACTTGTTAAGAGGCGCATGTTGAACTTGTTTGGTAAGTTCCTGGAGCTCAATATTGTCCCGGATGATTGGAGGCGTATAGCCATTAAAAAACCTGGGAAACCCGCGTCAGATCATAACTCGTATCGTCCCATTGCGATGTTATCGTGCATTCAAAAATTGTTGGAGAAAATGATCCTTTTTCACCTGGACAAATGGGTTGAGATGAACCTACTCTCAGATACTCAGTTTGGTTTCCGTAGGGGCACGGGAACGAACGACTGTCTCGCGTTGCTTTCCACAGAAATTCAGTTGGCTTTTGCTCAAAACGAGCAAATGGCTTCTGTGTTCTTGGATATTAAGGGGGCTTTTGATTCAGTATCGGGTGTCTCCCTTAGCTCAGTCGCAGCTACAAAGGTAGACCATGCCGGAGGTGGCTGGGATCAATTCTCCCGGTCCGGTCTAGGAATTTTTCGGGTTGGAAAATTTCTCGACTTCCCGGGGCATAGAAGTATGATTGAACTTGCCATACAATTATACCAATGCAAAAATGGTACAGGCATCGAAAGCTCTCGATTAATAACTGTGGAAGTGCATCTTGAACACCAAGTTGAGAGCACGCAATAAGCTAATATGCGACATGCAATAAGCTTGAAATGCGAAGAAGAAGAAGAAGAATAAGAAGAAAAAAGAAGTTGATTCAGTATCGGTTGAAGTCCTTTCAGACAAACCCCACGCTTGTGATCTTTCTCCATTAATTAATTAATTTTTGTACAATTTGCTGTCAGAGAAACATATGAGCTTTTCTCATGGAAACTCTACAGCTTCTCGATTTAGTTACATGGGTCTCCCCCATGGCTCATGTTTAAGCCCCCTTATGTATAATTTCTACGTCAGAGAAATTGAAAATTGTCTAAGTGACAACTGCAGGTTGAGACAACTTGCAGATGACGGCGTAGTGTCTATGACAGGACCCAAAGGGGTCGCAGGGCCCAGCACAACCGAAGCTTCAACTTTTGGGTAAACCGATCACTCATTCCATGTCTTTTAAATATCTTGGGGTCTGGTTCGATTCCAAATGCACCTGGAGATCCCACGTTGAGTATCTGAGACTAAAATGCCAACACAGGATTAATTTTCTCCGAACAATTCCCGGAACGTGGTGGGGAGCTCATCCGCAAGATCTTTTAACGTTGTACCGGACAACGATTTTATCGGTTTTAGAGTACGGTAGTTTTTGCTTCCAGTGGGTGGCTAAAACACATATCATCAATCTGGAACGTCTTCGTATCGGAATTTTGGAATTGTCCGTCAGGCTACTCACCCGGTGTGAAATTATGAACCCATTGGTGATTGCAAAATTTGAGAAGCTTCTTGAGCTTAACCCTCAAACTCGTTTTATATCATTGAGCTACGGGTACATAGCACAGGATGTCAGCCCTTCACAGCATAATCCTCATCGTGTATGCTTCTCCGACTTCGGCAATTCTGTTAGTTTTGATTTTTCTATGACGCGGGCGATTCGTGGGATCCCAGAACATCATCGTTCCATGATTTCTCCGTAAATTTTCGCTGCAAAGTTTGGCCTAGTTGATTCTGCTAGATCGTTCTTCACAGATGGATCACTAATAGAGGCGTCCGCTGGATTTGGTATTTTTAACGAATTTCATAGCGCCTTTCGAATGCTTCAAGCTTCTTGTTCCGTATATGTTGCTGAACTGGCGGCAATACACTATACGCTAGAAACGATCGCCTCACTTGCACCAGATCACTATTTTATTTTTACGGACAGTCTCAGTTCTGTCGAGGCTATTCGCTTCATGAGGCCGGTAAAGCACTCCTCGTATTTTCTCATGAAAATACGAGAGCTTCTAAGTGTTTTATCTTTAAGCTATTTTGCTCAAATACGGACTCACTTGCTAAGGTGGGCGCTATGGGAGGCGATATTTATGAGCGTCAAATCGCCTACAATGAATTTTTCTTAATTTATCGTCAACAGTCGCTCGCCAGCTGGCAAAATAATTGGAGTGAAGGTAGTTTGAGGCGATGGCTATATTCTATCATCCCTAAGGTGTCGAAGTTTGCATGGTTCAAAGGGTTGGATGTGGGTCGAAACTTCATTCGTATGATGTCTCGCCTCATGTCCAATCACTATTCGTTAAACGCTCACTTGTTCCGTGTTGGGCTGAGGGATGGCAATCTCCGTGAATGTGAACAAGGTTACCAAGACGCCGATCACATTATTTGGTCATGTGCTGAGCATCGTGGAGTCAAATCTGAACTATATGATTCCCTTCGGGCTCGAGGTAGGCAACCTTATGTTCCAATTCGGGATATTTTGGTTAGACGTGATCTGGAGTTTATGAAACTCATATGTGTTTACTTTACGAATATTAACCTTAGATTGTAAGTTTGATTAACCGTGTGTTTAGTTTGTATTTTGTACCTGTGGGTTTTTTTAAATGTTTGTTTTCAAGATGAATAGAAATCAGTACATGTTTTAGGATTAATTATACAGCAGTTTTGAAACCACCAGATTTTTCTAAGATTTTTTGGGATTTTTTGGAACATGTTGCATTAAATTTGGTTGCAATTCGAGGTCAAACAATCAAACATTAAGGCGAACAAAATCGCATAAAAATAGAATTGAATGTAATTTGCTTCAGAAAAAAATCCCTGTGCTTGGAATAGGGTCCCAGTTGAAGGGAGAAGAGGTGTTTCTGAAACCCTTATTCACCCTACTTTAAACAGCATTCGTGCCTCAACGTACCTGGATTTCACATTGCTCCCAAACCCAATCGCTGAGAACTTTAGTAACATGACAAATACATTTATGCAGACTTGGGAAACACGACCAATAAAGAAATGTAATTTGACGCTCTCGAACGGTGTCATAAATCAGTCCCCGAAATGTTCATCCGTATTCATCTGCCCTCATAAAAGGAGACAAGTTTCCTTGGAAACTTCCAACTTCAAGAGCCGAATCGCTTCCATCCCCGGTGAGACACAATCAATCATCTTCATGTTTTATCAGTACCCATTAAATTGGCCCAACCACAGTCCATGGTTCAATTCCCGGGAGATTAATTCAAGTTGCCAGAGAAACGACGGGAGACATCTCGATCTCGAGACAGCAAAACACCGGTTGAAGAAAAATCAACAAATTGGTCAACGTGGTCTGAGGAATGAGAAAGAAGCAGTCAATTTTAAATTTTCATTACTTTGTTTCCATGGGGGTCGTCTCCATCGATGTTCGTTGCCTGGTCCAAGGGAATCCTGCTTTTCTTTGGTTCACTCGTTTATTTTTTTATTTTTATGTTTCACTGGGCTTTATCAATATTTATCCGCACAGGATTTCGGTTTTCTTCCAACAAAAAAAAAATCACGAACACAAACACACACGATTTCACAGTTGGCAGCACGATATCGACTCTGTTGTTTTAGCCGCGTCCGTGGACCAGGTTGTTGTGGTTGTTTTCAGGACACGACCTTCTGCCACCGAAAAACTGCGGCAACCGTCATAAAATTGGGAATTCCAACCACAGCGAACACTAAACAGCATCAATTTATGGCACGAACACGACTTTCACTTTTTTCGTTATTTTCCCCGCATATTTTTTTTTTCGAGGGTTACAAGATTGGAACAGCTGTGTCACGACGAGAGCTTTCCACTTTTTTTTTGCGGGGCTTTACTTGCTGGTGGAAATTTAAGCAAAAATTTCCCTGGTTTATGACATGGGCTTTGCTTTCCGGCAATAAATGGGCTTTTCACGATACTTAAATCACTGTTTGGAACTTTCTTCGTCGAAAATGAGATAAATTTATACCATTAACACTTTCACTGTACTATGGCATGATTCTCGACCGGGATTGTTTTTCAAACAACGCACAGCACCGAACGTCAAGATAGAGCATCCGTTAGCCCCGTCGTCTTTTCTTGTAGCCTTATATACGAACGCAACATGAAGCTGTAAACATGTTTCGAGCTCCTATCACTGCCCCATGGCTCTGAGTTAAACTGTAGCACGTTGGATCATATCACTCCAACCGAAGAGCTCATTCATTAATTAACACGGAAATTTCACCTTTCCGGTCCATAAGTGACATTTACAATAATAACATCAACAACAACAATAGCAGCAGCAGCTAGGACTGCATGACCGAAGGTCTGCTTTCCCGCACCGCACCGAACAAAAAAAAAAGGACCAAATCGATTTTCACACCCTTCGGCTATATACGTGTGCTACATCCGTTCTACACACTCTAAACACACACTTTTTATTTCTCCTTTGGCCTCCCCCGCAGGAATCTACTCCCTGCGTCCCAATCACCCGTCAGTATTTTTCACTCTCTTGCTCTTTTCTGCTCCGCTTTGCCTCGCTTTCCTCGATACGTAGGAAGTTCCAAACACAGGAAAATATCCTCTTGCTAGGCTCGGACTTGGACCGGATTCGTCCTGATCCCGTTCCGAATTCCTCGGTTCAATCCTTCACTGTTCAGCTGGTCAAGTGACCAAACTTTGACAGAACGCGACGACGATTACTATTTAATAGAGATCCACGACACACGACATCGCGGTTTGCACGGGAATAATACCACCATCTCCGGACACTGTAGTATACCTAGTAAGGGTAGAGTAGCTCTCCTCCGATGCGAAGGGTCGACAATTTTCCGTAAGCACCTTCTGAACCCAACTGAAGCTCCTGCATCTCCCACGGTGGAAAAAGCTGTCCGTATTCGTCCGAGGACGACGCCCGTCGCCCTCTCACTCTCACTCTCAATCTCGCTCAGAGTGTTGCCACTCGCTGGAGCCTGTGAGCGGAAAATCGAGGAGCATGCGCCATGTGTGGGCCCCACTGTAGGAGATCTACCCAATCAACCACGTGAGACAAGGTGAGTCGGTGAGATTGTGACCGGTGAGATCCGTGAGGGGACAGCTGTTTTTCCTGACCTAGGCGCCCCGGAAGGTGTGTGCGTGTGATGCTTGTAGCTCGTAGGGAGATTCAGTCGGGGGTGGAAATGAGTTGACGTGTTTGAACCTACACGAGACTCTACGGGAAGTGATTCGGAGGCACGCCGCTGGCAGAGAGTGACAGACTACCTTCCCGGAGGGCAATCGGTCGGAACCTGAGAGGGCAAGTATATTTTAGTTGAAAAGTAAATATTGGTGGGGGATTTATTGTTCTGTGCTGGAAGCTCATTAGATGTGGGGACGTTGTTTTCTTTGCTTTTATCTTTTTCCCTGTATCTCGCCGGTTTCGCCCCAGCAGGGGGAGGGGGTGGTTATCCGGCTTAGGGAAACGAAAGGTGCTGCGGATGATGTTGATACGATGAACAAGTTGATGGGGATTATGATAATGACTGTGTGTCTGGAAAATATTTTGATTGAATTATTTGTCGGGTGCGAGAAAAGTTGTTTCTCTAAGCAAGATCCTGGATGGGATGGGAGCACATAGTGCTGGTTTAAAAAATACTAATTGGGATTGTCGGTTTATTCTGGCACCATCAAGGTTTGTCCCCAACAGGTTGTAGTTTATAGGGTAAACAGATACAATCAGTGTCCCTTTAAAAAAAAGCGGCGATACTTATACCGCTTTCTCTTCAATTAACTGAACAATCACGTATATCCGTTGCGTATAATTTTGAAGTGATGAAATTGGGTTGTTAGCGGAATACTTAGCAAAAAAGGTTATCTATTTATTTATTTATTTATTTATTTCGTCAACCAACGTAGACTAGTACAACTAATACAGTTTTGTTTTCTTAAATATATATTTATATAAAAAAAGTAGTGTCAACTTTCTTGTCTTTTCTTTTATGAGTTGTTATTTCTTATGGAATAAAAATATTGCTTTAGTTTATGCCGGGACATTGTAAAATCAATGGTTTCGCAGTGTTTATTGTAAGAGGTCATCATGCGGTTTAATGGCCCATATTTTGCATAATTTGTGCGATGATGTTTTATGGCAAATAAATTTCGATTTCGGAGTTTTGGAATGGAAATTTAATTTTGATAAAAGTTCTGTTGAGTCAATTCGCTGCGAAACGATATCATTTACAAATGAAACCATTGCATATTCACGACCCTCTTTTAATGTTTGTATGTTTATAAGCATGCAGCGTGCTTCATATGATGGAAGAGGAAATGATGTCCAACCTAATGTACGAAGAGCGTATAATAGAAATTGTTTTTGTACGGATTCTAATCTTTCTTCGTGCGTGATTGAAAAGGGAGACCATACAATGCTGCAATATTCCAGTATTGACCTCACATAGGCGATATATAGTGTTTTAATTGTGTAAGGGTCCTGAAAGTTATAGCAAAGCGCTTGATAAAGCCTAGCATGTTATTTGCCCTGTGAATAATTGTATTGTAATGGTCTATGAAAGTTAGCTTAGAGTCTAAGATAATTCCTAAATCCCTAACTCTTTCACATTTGTCTACAGTTTGATTTCCTAATGCAATTGAAATGTTTGAAGTTGTTCTTTTTCTACTAAATGATATTAAGTGACATTTTTTTACATTCAATTCTAGTAGACTTTTTTTGCACCATATGTAGAATATGTGTATTTCATTCCGGAATATATTGATGTCTTCTTCATTTCTTATTTCCAAAAAGAGCTTCATGTCGTCGGCAAGAATAAGCAATTTAAGTTTTTTGAGAATGTAAGATAAGTCGTTTACGTACAGAATAAAAAGGAGAGGTCCCAAATGAGAGCCTTGGGGGACGCCTGAAGTGACTTGAATTGGGCTCGATTTCTTTCCGTTGAATTTAATTATTTGTTGGCGGTTAGTTAAATATGATTCAAGCCATTTCAGGAGCCCTGACTTAATTCCAATTTTTTGCAGTTTAAAGAGTAACATTGGTATGTCAATGCGGTCAAATGCCTTGCTAAAGTCTGTATAGAGAGCTTCTACGTGGTTTCCATTATCCATTGCATTCAATGAATAGTCAATAAATTCAAGTAAGTTGGTCGAGGTCGAACGACCCTTGAAAAAGCCGTGTTGCATGTCAGTAATTCTATTTTTGATTTGGAGAAATAATTTTTCGTTGATAATTGACTCGAAAAGCTTAGGAATGCAAGAGATAATGGCTATACCACGATAATTACGTACGTCAGATTTTCGACCAGATTTAAAGATAGGTACTAGAAATGAGCTTTTCCAAATTTTTGGGAAGGTTCCTGATTCCAGGGACATATTAAAAAGCCAAAACAATGGAGCAGTGAGTTCCATTGCTAGACATTTAATAAATACTGGAGGAATTCCGTCAGGTCCAGGACCTTTTGAGGCATCTAATTTTTTTAAAGCCTGCAAAATGTCCTGCACTTGAAGTTGATTGAGGCCAATGTCCCGTGAGAATTCTGGATAAAATGCAAAATAATCGCGGTCACGATCTTCTTCATTATTGAAGGAAAATTGTCAGATTTTAATTTCGTGTTTACGTAATTAAAGAAGTTCTTCGGACAGGACTTTATTTCACGTTCAGTTTTTGCATTATATTCTTCAAATGCAGTACTGATAGCTAAATTCAGTTGATCGCATAGATCCAAATAAATTAATAAATTATTACTACTATTGTGTTTTTTGTAAATTTTATGTGCTTTTTGCTTCCGATTTTTCAAGTTTTTTTTATTTGTTTTTTATATCAGACTGGATTTTGTGTGTTTCTGTTACGTCTTTTTTTCTTCAAAGGTATTTCTTCCGAAATTATTTCTGTAAAAATTTTGTAGAACACGTCTATACCAATTTCGACATTTCCTACATTCCTTAAAATTAATTGCCAATTGACACTGTTTAATTTAAATTTTATTTTTTCGTAGTCTGCTAATTTGTATTCAAAGACTTCTTCGTATTCGCAGTCGTTGGGTCTTCGGTTTTCATGCATAAATAAAGAATATTCGATTGCTGTGTGAAACGCTTCATTTTTCCACAGTGGATTTAATGATTCGGTCACACAGAAATCTTCATAAATATTCGTTAGTAAAAAGTCCAAATAGCAATTTTGTTGGTTTTTGATGTGGTTAATTTGGTTCAGTCCTAAATTAGCAGTTTTGTCAAAAATGAACTGCAATGTTTCATTATCCCCAACGACTGGGAGTAAGATACATTCATTTTCAGAGTCCAGAATGAAGTCAGCATGGCGTTGATTAAAGTCTCCATAGATGTGAACTTTAACCTCAGGAGGAAGGTCAGATAGAATTTGTTCAGCAATTTGGAAGAAGGCTTCATAAGTGCTTTTATGAGCATGGTCTGGTGGAAAATACACTGCGGCGAACACGTGCGTTTCACCGGCTATGTGTGATTTCACCCAAATATGCTCAAATTCTGTAAATTTTGGTGTAAAGATAATTTCTGAGTTAAAATTGGCCGAAAGAGCTATAAGAACTCCACCACCTGACTTCTTCTGTGTTGCATGAAAATTTCTGTCGTCTCTGAATACATTAAAGGCATTTCCAATGATTTCTTCACTTTTTATCTTCCATTGAATTCCACTAAATTAATTTTGGTATCGATGACAGATACGTATTTCGAATACAATGTGCTGTCTTCATCAGTGTCATTCCCTCTAAAGGATTATCAAAATCTAAATACAACTGAATCACCACCAACAGAAAACACCGCTCCGTCAACACTTCTGCAATCAAATTCAACACCTGGATGGTCACTCGACACTTTGCGTCCACCCATCGTAAGCTTGACGCAGCAATTAGCTGATGGAGACGAGCGTTTGCTAAAAGTGCCGTCATTAATAATGTACACTACCCATCATAAATGACGGCTTGCGTGGAAAAGTATTGCCACACTCACTTGAATATTGCATCACCTAAAAAAGTTAAGCATCACCCATCAAAAGTTTAAATTTTCACTAAAATTTGAATAAAATCCACTTTATCACTATTAAATTATTGTAGTAGACAATCAGAAAGCTCTTAATAAGACATATAAATATTCAGCTCAAGTGGGTACACCACCTGTGGTCGATGTCAACGATTTGAGCCAAAAATGGCCAAAACGCTTATTTTGGCATTCTGAACAAACGCCTTTTTTTGATTTTGCTCTGAAGTGCCTAGATCCCTCTCGGCTACAACCCTGGATTTTCGAGATTTTTTTAAATTCCATCTTTCAGAAGAGATTACTCCACACCCGAATAAGCTATTCGTGATCTTAGAACGTCAATTTAAAGGTTTTTTAATGTAGATTCTTATAGGTGCACCCACATTTAGTTTTTGTTATAGTAACTACAGTAAACAGGCTGATTACCGGCAGGTATTAAAATTGTCAAAAAATGGTCTATTTTCACCATGGGAGGGATTTTTTGGTTTCTTAATATTTTGAGCTGAAATTTCCAACACACTTTGGAAAACTCTTAAACTTGATGTGTTTCCAAGGGCAAATGATTTGGACAAACAGTTTTTGAGATATGATCAGATGAGTAAGTGGTAGGTTTGAGCTTTTCTGGTGGGAAATCAATGCTATTTAATATTTTTTTCTTGAATTCCTTCTCGCCGATGGCACAATAATATTTATGTAATTTTTTACATGTTTTGTGCAGGATTCTCATTATATGAATTTAATACTAGCTCATTTATTTACTTCTGCCCATAATTTTATTGTGGCATAAAAGTGAAAAATACGTTCCTATGGGATACAGCTA